CTAAACAATAACAACATCCCTCTGCAGGCAGCACTGGCTACCTGATGTCACGCACTTGAGATTCTCTGTAGCTGGTAGAGTGGAGAGGAATGGTTGGTTGGCTTTGAAGAGGTCTTGCATGACCCTTACCCCCTTGAATGACCCTTTGATCAGCACATTCACCCAGTGTGTGTGTGTGTGTGTGTGTGTGTGTGTGTGTGTGTGTGTGTGTGTGTGTGTGTGTGTGTGTGTGTGTGTGTGTGTGTGTGTGTGTGTGTGTGTGTGTGTGTGTGTTTTAGCATTGTTCCTTACTTCCTGGCCTTTTGTTTAGGGTGACCCTCATCCCCCATTTCCCCCTCACTCACCCCTTTAACCTTTCTACCCCTCTCATCCCCCTCTCATCCCCCCTCTACCACCCCCACCTCCCCCTCTCATCCCCCTCTACCCCCACCTCCCCCTCTCATCCCCCTCTACCCCCTCATCCCCCTCCCACTCCTCTTTCTATTCTGGTTAGAGCCTGTTTGCGCTGTTCTGTGAAGGGAGTAATACACAGCGTTGTACGAGATCTTCAGTTTCTTGGCAATTGTTCGCCTGGAATAGCCTTCGTTTCTCAGAACAAGAATAGACTGACGAGTTTCTGAAGAAAGTTATTTGTTTCTAGCCATATTGAGCCTGTAATCGAACCCACAATTGCTGATGCTCCAGATACTCAACTAGTCTCAAGATGGCCAGTTTTATTGCTTCTTTAATCATCACAACAGTTTTCAGCTGTGCTAACATAATTGCATAAGGGTATGTTCTGGCTATCCCTAGAGGTCAGCAGGTCAGTGTCACCTTGGGGTGAAGGTGAGAGAGATCTGGCTGTCCCTAGAGGTCAGCAGGTCAGTGTCACCTTGGGGTGAAGGAGAGAGAGACATGGCTACCCCTAGAGCTTCAGAGTAGGTCAGTGTCACCTTGGGGTGAAGAACAGAGAGACCTGGCTATCCCTAGAGGTCAGTAGGTCATTGTCAACTTGGGGTGAAGGTGAGAGAGATCTGTGTCACCTTGGGGGGAATGCGAGCGAGACCTGGCTATCCTATACAGGATTAAGATAAAAATGTGTAGCAATATATTTACTGTTGAGATAGTGTGCAGGGGAATTTATCATCACAAATGGAAGATGTCATATTTTATATTTCAGAGCAACACATAATTTCCCTTATGTGTGTGTGTGTGTGTGTGTGTGTGTGTGTGTGTGTGTGTGTGTGTGTGTGTGTGTGTGTATGTGGGGTTACTGGATGGTTCCCCTTAAGCACCTTCTACTATCAATAACAGTCTCAGATGTACCTCTATCCCCCAACACACACACACACTGCCCCTCAACTCACGTTAGGCATGGTGAGCAAGGCCTCATCACGGTTCAAAGGTAAATCTAACTGTCATCTTTGATGTATAGACAGTGACACCATCGCTTTATTGCTCACAACCTGCGTGACAAAGTTTGACTTGGGTAAGATAATGTTTCCACCTGCCGTGACTGTTACTAGTGTAAACACTGTGGAAACAAACAGCAGTTAAAAATATCCACCCTTTTCCTGGGTCGGACTGGGGCACCATGATACATCCACCTAACGACTCATGGACTTTCACATGCAACTCTAGACTTCATTCTCAACTCAAATCAGATTCTACCATTATAATTAAAATAAAAGGTAGGCTGTGAGGAGGGAAAATGACAGTACATTATAACAAAATAGTTTAATTTTAATGACAGCAAGACTTCCGTGCCAATCCAAAACACATTAACCCAATAAAAGTTTATTAGTTCTGGATAAGAGCGTCTGCTAAATGACTAAAATATACAGTGCCTTCGGAAAGTATTCAGACCCCTTGACTTTTTCCACATTTTGTTAGGTTACAGCCTTATTCTAAAATTGATTGAATTGTTTTTTTCCCTCATCAATCTACACACAATACCCCATAATGAGAAAGCAAAAAAAGGTTTTTAGACATTTTTGCTAATTTATAAACAATACAAAAATCTGAAAAATCACATTTACATAAGTATTCAGACCCTTTACTCAGTACTTTGTTGAAGCACCTTTGGCAATGATTACAGCCTTGAGTCTTCCTGGGTATGACGGTACAAGGTTGGCACACCTGTATTTGGGGAGTTTCTCCCATTCTTCTCTGCAGATCCTCTCAAGCTCCGTCAGGTTGGATGGGGAGCATTGATGCACAGCTATTTTCAGGTCTCTCTGGAGATGTCCGATCGGGTTCAAGTCCGGCCTTTGGCTGGGCCACTCAAGTACATTCAGAGACTTGTCCCGAAGCCACTCCTGCGTTGTCTTGGCTGTGTGCTTAGGGTCGTGGTCCTGTTGGAAGGTGAACCTTCGCCCCAGTCTGAGGTCCTGAGCGCTCTGGAGCAGGTTTTCATCAAGGAGCTCTCTGTACTTTGCTCACCTCCCTGACCAAGACCCTTCTCCTCCGATTGCTCAGTTTGGTCAGACGGCCAGCTCTAGGAAGAGTCTTGGTGGTTCCAAACTTCTTCCATTTAAGAATGATGGAGGCCACTGTGTTCTTGGGGACCTTCAATGCTGCAGACATTTTTTGGTACCCTACCCCAGATCTGTACCTCGACACAATCCTGTCTCGGAGCTCTACGGACAATTCCTTCGACCTCATGGCTTGGTTTTTGCTCTGACACGCACTGTCAACTGTGGGACCTTATATAGACAGGTGTGTTCCTTTCCCAATCATGTCCAATCAATTGAATTTACCACAGGTGGACTCAAATCAAGATGTAGAAACATCTCAAGGATGATCAATGGAAACAGGATGCACCTGAGCTCAATTTCGAGTCTCATAGCAAAGGGTCTGAATACTTATGTAAATAAGGTATTTCTGTTTTTTATTTTTAATAGATTTGCAAAAATGTCTAAAAACCTGTTTTCACTTTGTAATTATGGAGTTTTGTGTGTAGATTGCTGAGGATTTTTTTTTAAATGGAATCCATTTTAGAATAAGGCTGTAACGTTACCAGTGGCGATTTTAGCATGTAAATCTTGGTGGGGTATAAAAAAAAAGTTTGTGGGATGCATGCCAGCAAAGCCACTACACAACACAACACAACACGACATTAAACAATACATTAATTGCACTATAACGGTGACAAACGATGCCCACAAACTGTTAGGTCCTACATAAAGCTGTTCCAACAGCAGAGCTTTCATTTCAGCACCATGGAGTGAATCCTTACCACTGCTACACCTGGCTATCAGCGCAGCCTTGTCTGGCAGTGAAACAGTTCATTCAGCCTCATTTACTGCCTTTAAAAAAAATACATAGCTGATATGGCTGACTTGCTTAAACAAACGTGGTTTCAACTGACAATTGAGATGTACAAACTATGGTATAAGGGGACGACAAGCGGATAAGAGGCAATCCGTAATTTAGATTAAGAAAATTAATGAGCGAGCTAGGACGGACGTAGTCAATATCACTATTTGTTCAGCACTTTTGAAATGTACAGCGACAGAATTCAGAACATGGGCCGTTCTTACAGTGTTCTCCTTGTACACCAAGTCAGAACCGTAGAATAAATAAAGGGGGCATATAAGCAGACAATGAAAGCTCTTACAATATTCAATGATTACATTTCTCTAAAACAGGTTATAGGCTACATGTGCACCACCAAGCCAGAACAGTAGGCGAAATTAAGAGGGGAAAATAGACCAAATTATTAGGGTGAGGCACATGGGCTACTAACAGCTTACTACACAACATACACTAAGTATTACTTTCTTAGCTACAGTATACATATCTCCCTGGCATTTTACATCATTTATGCAGCAGCATACAATACATTTTTGGACTCACCTTGTTGTGCTGTGCTCACTTGAACAGGAAGGTGGCGCGGCGGTCCTTCGTGGGCAAATTTTGTCATCAAACTTTGTCGTCAAAGTCTGGCATTCTCTGGATTTATGCTGCTTTCAAGACAACTGGGAACTCTGAAAAAACAAGGTAGAATCAGATGACGTCATTGATCTTCAGGTCGTAGCTCTAGAAAGAAACCCGAGTTCCGGATTTACAATTCCAAGTTGGATGACCGTTCAAAACATATTTTCCCAGTTGGAGCTCGTTTTTCCTGAGTTCCCAGTTGTCTTGAACTCACTGAAGTCAGATTTCGCAGTTCCGAGTTAACAGTTGTTTTGAGCACGGCACAAATCATGCTTCATTGACAGCATGGCCAATGTTGAATGTTTATCATTTTAAGCTTGGAAAAGAGACCCTTAATCCCAGACTTGGGACCACACAGCCACTCCACTGAATAGCAGGCTAGTGATTGCTTTGCAATGCTTGCAGTTAGCCACTGATTCCTTCCAAACATGGGCACTTCTAATGTAACTCTATGGGAGCACCCAAGGGGCTTGAATTTTCGAGCTCTACCCTTAGACTTGGCGGTGACCTAGTGTCCTCATGAGTGACAGAACACTGAGCCAATCACGGCGCAACTAGAGAACATTACCAACACCTATGCTCTGTATTTTCCGCTGGCTGCCCCACCACAGAAAGCACTGAGCTAGGCTGAAACACCTGCATTTTGGAGCTGCCTTAATCAATAAAGCAAAAAGGAGACCATGTTTATTTTTATTTTTTTACATTGTTTGCAAACTGATATGTGACACGTATTAATGCCAAAATAACATGCAAAACATGTGGTGCTCAAAACAGGTCCTGAATGACGGGTCGCCACTGAACGTAATAAAATGTGGAAAAAGTCAAGGGGTCTGAATACTTTCCGAAGGCACTGTATATGTAAAATGTAAAAATGCAAGTTGTGTGGAGTTAGATGATCCCAGACCTGCCCATGAAAGGGAACACCTGGTATCTCAGATATGTAGGCCGTCTATTTGGAAATCATACTTTCTTTCATAAGCCCCATATAGATACATGTCAGAACACGAACAACAGGACTTTACGCATGTTGGTTTGGGTGGAATGCTGGAAACGTGCAGGCCTAGGTGTGTAACCAGCCAATCATGCACTTGCGTCAGCTCCACGCAGTTAAAAGGTGAGACAGAGCTGTAATTTATGTATTATGGAATCTGTTGAAAGCATTGAAGGCATCGTTTGTCTGGACGGTTGTTTTACACGCTCTGTTAATTGTTGCCCTGTTAAGTGCAAGGTCGATGAATTCCAGTCTGAAGTGTGTGTGTGTGTAGTGTTTTGTGTGTGTGTGTGTGTGAGAGAAAGGAGAGGAAGGAGAGAGAGAAAAGAGAGGGAGAAGGACGCAGAGAAGGAAGAGACGAGAGAGAGAAGCGAAAGAGAAAAAGGGCCCAAAGGGAAACGACAAAAGCTAAGCTCCCTCCCTCCAGGTTTCCCGCCTGCTCTCTTCCTCCCTCTCTCCGCTCTCTCCGCATTCTCTCTCTTTGCCCGTCCCATCCTCCCGCCAACCCCCCTCTCTCGCCCGCGTAGCCCTTCCTCGCCTTCCCGGTTTCCGCTCTCTCCTCTTCTGCGCTCTCGTCCCTCCCTCCCCCGTCCCCTTCCCCCTCTTCACCCTCCTCTCGCCTCCTCTCTCCCCCCTCCCCCCCTCCCTCCCCCTTCCCCCTCTCTCCAATGGCCGCTCCTCCTCCTCCCGCCCTAACCATGCATTTACCCTTCTGGCTTGGTTAAAGGTTGAGTTAGCTTGTTGCGCCGGGGTAACAAGTTCACGTTAAAAAAGTCAGATCAAAGCCGGATTTTCCTTTTACCGCACTTATGTTTACCAGGACACTGGGGCACAAACGATCACATCCCATCATTACCACTGCACAGCCCAGGAAGTTCAGCCATCAATGGACACGAGACATCCAAATGATAAAACATTGATTGTTTAGATAAAAGGCCTACACACATCTACTTTGCACCCTGCTTTACTGGCCTATAGGCTTACCTCTGAACGTGTGCTGCATACATAAACAACCAACGTTTTACCCAAAAACATTTGTATTAGGCTACTATTGTATTTCTGTGTAATAGTCCTATAGGTAACCTGTAGGTTTTGGTAGGATCGTGGTGACTCTGTGCAGGGGCGTCATGCACCCCAAAAATCTGAGGGGGCACTAAGTATGTGACTATGGCTCGGGGTCGGTCCAGAGGGGGGGGGCTAGAATTTTTCATTTTTCAAGCACATGAAACAGCTTTTCCTAGAGTCATAATCATTATGCTTATTTCTATGTCAAAAAAATATGTTTACAGTTCTGCATATCTAAGCATACCTCTTGAGCTGTCTGTATCCTCCTGACTAGTGGTTCTTTTTTTAAATAAACTAATTATGCTTCTCTGCATGTCTGCATGTCTGCTAAAATCTGGGTAAAAGATTGAAAGTAATGTGTCTTATTCAGTACATTTAGTATTTGCTTGCTTTTCTAAAGTCTACCAACCTTGCCAGCAGACATGCCAGATAAGATAGTTAGACAAGCTAGCTACTCTAACTTGATTAATAGCCTGAAATGGCTTCTTGGTAGCTAATTATGAGATTGGGAGATAGGGAATGTAACTGGGCTAGCTAAAGCCAACTTCATAAAAGTGCTAGGTGGCTAGTAGTATTACAGAAGGAAAAAAAACTATATATATATGTTTTATTTTTTAAACAGGACATATCAGGGGACACGTGCCCCTGTGCTCCCTATGGGCTTGATGCCTCTGACTGTGTCCTGTCACAGGCCTATTTATGGCATGTGTTTGTCCTCCCATAATCCTCCTATAGGCCTACTGGAAATGCTGTTTGAAAACGCAAACAACTAGAAACCGTCCCAGTCAGTCAGTATCTAAAAAACAAGGGGGGGGGGGGGGTGAGACCACCCAGCTCACTGTAAACGCCCTTAGTAGACCTACAGCACAACCTACAACACAACTTCCTGCTTTACCTCCTCCTATGACACACCAAGTTTCGTTTTTTCCTCCTCTCTCTCTCTCTCTCTTCTCCTTTGATGCCAAGTCCCACCCTTCGACCGAGTGAGGAGCGCTGTGAGTGGCTGAGAGGACGGAGCGTTCCCTGCAACAGCTGCGAGCTGCCTCTATCCACCACAGGAGTTGGCGGAATTGAGCCCAGTGGAGAACGACGAACAGCTGCTTTGTCACGCATTGCCCCAGCCCCGGACCAGCATCCTAAACGCAGATCAACATATCGCTACATTCATGACCGGACAGGGATTAAGTGGCGAAGGAAAGAACTTCACAGAAGAGATCGAACGGATTTTACGCAGGTAGGAATATGATATGTGTGTGTCTGGACGCTTTGTATTCTAAACGGGCTCTGTGAAAGCAACGCTATAATAAATCAGCCCAGCCGGGACGTCTATGCAGCAGTATGTGTTGGAGCTCGACTATAATGTAGGCTAGTCCTTTTGCGCTGCGCACCAGATCTTAATGACTGCTGGAAGGGAATTTTTACATTTTATAAACGATATAGCAGTCTGCTACGTTCTGCAACTCGGGTTTAGTGTTGTTTATCTCAAACATCCACCGTGTTTTCGCGGATAAAACCTGCTGAAATGCGGGTATTTGTGCGTAATAACATCGTAGGCTAGGACCTATAGGATTTATATAGCCGATGTAGGCTTTTTGATGTTCGTAACAACGGGAAATGCAGTGGTAGGATCGAGTCTTTGTGCTGTTCGCCGCAGTCCCCCTTTCCTCTGTGTGTGTCTGTAGGCCTACGTGCAAACTTGCTCGAGCAGCGATTTGTAACTGGCACGTATGCCGTAGACCCCGTGTATCTGCCTCCGGTGATCAAAATACTCTCTCGAGAACGTTTTGTTATCGTGCGACAATGATTGTATCGCGCTGTATTAGTAGCCTGTACGCACTGTAATTGCATCATGACGCTCGTCATTGACAGAAAATAATAAAATAAAACTGTTTCTAAGTTTGGGAGACTTTTCCCCACCTAAAGGTTCTATTCAGTCTATTCAATCTTCTAGATTTAAGGGCTATCAATGGTAAACAGGATACTTTCCATTTTATCAGTTTAACATTACCCAGGAAAGTAAACGATTGGTTTCCAAAATTATGCTTATTGTTTTTCACCCAATAAAACGCAATGGTTATTGACTCTGTCAAGGGGTCTGACTAACAGTTTATCAAATGACATGCCCAGGACTTTTGAAACCTATGAGGCATATATTTTAGGTGTGTTATTTCCCGTCTATGGTTATTTCTCTCACACTCTGTCTGTCTCTCTTATCATTTATTTCCTCTCTTTCAGGACTATCAGGTTTTAGGTGTGCCCCTGGCGACCATGGATAAAGCTTTACATATCCTACAGAAACCGACAGACTCAACCGACAAGGTCCTCGACGGTGGAACGGGACTCGCTCTGGATATGAGTATGAGGGACCGGGAATTCACAGAACAATCTATTAGACTTACCGATAAAATCCCGTTAGTGAAGCCCTATTTCAAAAAGAAACACGGACAGAGGAAACTGGACGCAAAATGCCTCCGTGCACTCCAGGACCCAATCCTAACTACATTACTGAGTACGGATGCTCTTGTTACCGGAGACGGGGTGTTTGTCCCCCGGAACCCACCGCCAAGGACAGCGGGGAACCTGTGCACTGCGGCGGTGGTCAAACAGACACAGATTGGTGGGCCTGTGTGCCTGAAAGAATCGTCAGCTACCGGTGTAACGGCTATGATTACCGGCGACACGGAAATGGCGGACGACGCCGCCGAGTTGGAGGAGACAGAGAGGGGGGTAACCAAGGTGCCGGTAGATATCCAGCGCGTGACAATAGACCCTAACGAGCGCAGATTCCAACTCAAACTTCACCCCAGGGCGCGCGATGTGGCGGCAGCACCCCCCACACCAGATACCCCTCTAGTAACCCCTCCACGCCAGGGGGGCAACACGATGAGTGACCTATTTGCTTCTAAAGCCTTGCGGGGGGCAAATTGCCTCACCATTAAAGACAGTAGGAGCACCCCCAGTCTTCAGGCCGACAAAGGCGAGATATTTCAGGATAAAAGCGAAGAGGCCTCCCTGGATCTAGTTTTTGAGCTGCTAACCCAGCTCCAGTACCACACACACCAAGCCGATTCTGTTTCGATCTGCGTGGATTTCCTGCAGGGGTTGTGTGTGTACGGGAGTGACTGTGCTTACCACCACACTGTACTGCCCTACCACTGGCAGATCTGCAGGAGTGATACTCAAAGCTGGCAAAGCATTGCGGATGATTCACAGGATCAGTTGGAGAGGCTTTATTGCAATCCGGACAATGAACAAGTCAGGCTCAAGTTTCAGTAAGTGCTTTTATTTAGTTACAGTGGTTCCTCCTGTTCTATGTTCTGTATGAAAGTAGCCTAATAGAGCTGAGATTGTATTTACAGTATTAAGACAGGAGTGCTTTGATATGAGAAAGGTATGCTCATAAGGTAAGCTCCCGAGTGGCGCAGTGGTCTAAGGCACTGCATCGCATTACTAGCTGTGCCACTAGAGTTCGAGTCCAGGCTCTGTCCGGGAGACCCATGGGCGGCGCACAATTGGTCCAGCGTCGTCCAAGTGTTTGGCTGGCAGGGATGTGGGTTCGTTTCCCACGTGTGTCAGTATGAGAAAAAAAAAAAAAATACGTATGCATTCACTAACTGTAAGTCACTCTGGATAAGAGCGTCTGCTAAATGACTAAAATGTAAATGTATGCTGTTTGATATATCTCAGTTTCAGTAGGTGTGTGTGTGTTGTAATGATTAACTGACTGAGTCGTTTTGGTTCCTGGATTCCCCTATCTCAGTTCTTATTTGGGTGTCATTCTTATGGCACTTAGTTCCTGCAATAGAGAGTGTGCTCTTTCTGCTCCCAAACCCAGCCTTCTCATTGGTTGAAACAGCTCAAACCAGGAAGTGCTGTACCCATGGCAGCTTAGAGCTGGGAACTTGCATGACCTACTGCTGCCTGGTGCAGTTACACAAACACACACACACACACACACACACACAAGCACTTGGCAACCGCTAGCAGACAGGCATACAAATTGTGCTCTGGTTCAAGCTATACACCACACATTCACACAATGAAACAGTTAGCTATTTCACCACATTCACACACACATATCTCACAAGTTATTCGGGGCACTGAGGGACTTGTGACTGTGCGTGTGTGTGTTGTTGATTTAGGTTTTTAAATTGAAACTACATGCAAACCTTCCCACCCACAGGATATGCACCTGTCCATGAGAAGCCAAATGCAGTCAAGCTCTTATTTGAATGTGCAACACACTCACATAGGGCTAGAGAGACTGTAATAGGATTTGGTGATAGTAACTTAGTGTATAGTAGTGTCAGTTTCCAAACATTATAAACGACCAGTCTGTATACAGAGCCAAAATACCACAGTAACTACCAGTGTAATAACCTATATAATTACTGTGTAAAAGACTAGTAAATATAGTTAAGAAACATTTTCTTACATTCTCTTAGAAAACCAAAGTAGCCATGGTAACAATCGGTATATAGACTGCAGGACTTTTTATTTAAGTTTAAAATACTTTCCCATTAGTTTACACCTCCTATTTAAAGTTTTTTTCCCTATCTTTTCTTTATTGCTTTCTGTTGTGAAGTGTTAGACCATCAAATTCTCCTGGAGAATTTCAAAAGACGGCCTCCAACACACTCCCAGCATGGTCCCGACATGCTCTGAATTTTAATTCCCATTTAAGCAAGTAAAGCAACAGTACTTAATTTTCCAGAGTCGGCCAGATGTAGATTTCCTGAAACCAGTCGCCCCAACTCTTCCCACCCCAACAAACACACACACACCCTGGGTGATGTTGTGTTGCCATAGTAACTGAATGCAGTTGATAACAGCTGTTATCTGAAGAGCAGCAGAGGACAAAACAAGCCAGGCCGTCAACATGGCAACAGACTTATTTGGCAGCCGCTGCTGTGTGTTTGTGTGAGTGAGAGAGAGTTAGTTAGTTGGTTAGTTAGTTAGTTGGCTGGCATGTGTCAGTATTTGTGTGTGAGGAACTAGCTCTCACAGTCTCACGTGAGAGTTAGAGGTTCATCCATGTTTCTCACACGTCACATTTCAAAGTGTTTAAGGTTAAGTTTGGGCATTAACTCCAAATTCTTAAAGTTAGGCATTAACTCTGAATGGTTAAGGTAAGGGTTAAGGTAAGGGTTAAGATTTGGGATAGAGGTAAAAACTAAAATATAAAAAAAAAAACTTTCTACCACTGGATTGGAACATACAACCTTTTGAACCAGAGCCATCCGCCATCCCCGTCCACAACACCCTAGCAAAACTGAAACCTACTTGAAGGTAACAGCGCTCATTGTTGCCACTTAGTGGCCGGTTTCCACGTCATCTCCCGACGTCCTCAGACGTGGATGGACTTGTATCACGGGTGACCTGCCTGGTGTGCGAGAGGGCATGCTTTGTGGGTGACTGTGAAAATGGGAGAGCGAGTTGATAATTCCTTCTCTGTGTGTCTGTGTTTACCGTCTCAACATGTTTGGATGTCCTGTACAGTATGTATAGGACATACAAACGTGCAGCTGTCTAAGGCACTGCATCTCAGCGCTCGAGGCGTCACTACAGACCCCCTGGTTCGATTCCAGGCTGTATCACAACCGGCCGTGATTGGGAGTCCCATAGGGCGGCGCGCAATTGGCCCAGCGTCGTCCGGGTTTGGCCGGTGTAGGCCGTCATTGTAAATAAGAATTTTGTTCTTAACTGACTTGCCTAGTTAAATAAAGGTAAAATAAAAAATGATTTGAGTTTGACTGTATGTCAGTCAGTCAGTGCGTGTGATGCAGGGGCAAGAGGTTGTGCTGTGAAGTGTCTACTCAGCCCCACTCAGCCCCATTCCTCTCTGGGTAGAAGTGGCCATGTCTCCCCCTCATCCCACCTCCACTCCTCCATTAGGGCTGGGCGATATATCACATTTAATTTGAATTTCATGTTTAGCGCAATGCCTGTATCGTTTTAGTATTTATGGTATTTTTGGTCTCGTCTCCTTCGCTCCTTCTGTGCTGTGTGCACGGTGCACCTTCCCACTCGTACACAGACGCCAAACTCCTCCCCCTGCCACTCAACAACAACAACAAAGACGAAAGATCACTTCTTCCTCTCTGACATCAAGCGGTTTCAACTCGCCATTTGCATTTGAGGTTTGGTCCAACAGAATCGTAATATGGGCACCGAAAACACATTGAAACGTTATTTTACTGTAAAGGGTCAGACACACCGAGAAATCTGCCTGCCGATAGGTACTTAGCACCTCTGCCTAGAGTGTCCGCAGTTAACCTTTTGTCGTTCACATACACAGTTTTACCTCCGATTTGCTTCATTTAAATACTCCAGGCCACAAGGTCGCAGTAGCTTGTTTGGCTTGTGCCTGCTGTAGCTAATATAAGCTAACTGACCTTTTGTAGCTCAGTTGGTAGCGCGTGGAGCTTGTAATGCCAGGGTAGTGGGTTTGATTCCTGGGACCACCCATATGTAAAATGTATGCACACATGACTGTAAGTTGCTTTGGATAAAAGTGTCTGCTGAATGTCACATATAATAATATGTATATGTGTGTGTGTATATAACTGGCAAGCTGTGCTAATGTTGTTGCTAGCTATAATTTAATTTGTAGTAAGCTCTTGTTGATACTAACCAGATGGCCATAACTAGCATAGCTAGCAACATTATATTTAAATCACAATGGATTCATTTTTGAATGAAGTAGCTGCCTGTTAGCTGTTGAGAGTCGGTGGAGTAGCTAGTTAGCTATGTTGTACTAAACGGCGATGATAACAGTTTTTAGCTAACGTTAGCTAACAAGCAAACTGACCCTGGCAACATAGAATAATGGAGAGTGAATAGATATATTTCTTCATCTTGCTAGTTTGGGAAAGCATTTTGTCTGGTGTGCATTGTGCTGCACTTTACCACTTAATTTGTTTCATATGAAGTGTGTTTGACTGCATGGCTCAGTTAGCTAGCTAACTAATGAGCAGGTGCAGATGATCAAACTGAACCTGACAAAAAAATCCTTCAAGCACAAAACTCATTAGACATTTACATTTACATTTTAGTCATTTAGCAGACGCTCTTATCCAGAGCGACTTAGTTAGTGAATACATATTTTTTTATACTGGCCCTGTATATGTAAAAGATGTAAAGACTTGCTCTAGAAAAAAGAAAAAAAAGTATTATGCAGTTTTATTGTTTTAGTTATAACAAGTCTGATGAAAGGGGAGTGGATTACACCAGGAAAAGTGCCATCTTTTCATTGTCACTTCTGTCGGCTCCCCAACGTGGAGGTTCGTGCCCTTTTTAATTGGCTCGGTCATGTTCTCAGCCATTGACAAGTATTGTGATTCTACATGCAGAAATGTCAGGTTTGTCGGTACACAGCAGGGGCGTCTTTTGTCCTAGCAAGAGAAGGAACGGCCTCGTACTGTGATAGTACCGATCAGCAGTCAGATCTCTGTGTGCGTCTGTAATATAATAGAAGAGAACTTAAAGGGATACTGCTAAGAATGCTAGTAGCTAGACTTCCAGTCATCACGCTAACGCTAGTTAGGCATTGGCTCATTAAACTACCTCTAATTTCCTTCATACTGGACACAAAGACATAAAAATGGTATCCAAGAGTTCATCTGACTCTGGGGAAGTAGATAAAGGGCATCATTGCCAAAATTCCGAATATCCTTTTAACCTTTCTAATGATACCCTTTTTTATGTCTCAACTCCTACAATTTAGAGAAGAGCGGACCCTTCTAAAATGGGACTATCAATGAACACGATTGTGGAAAATTAATGCTCAGTTTCTGTCACACGCAGCATTGCTGTACCACCTACCGCTAGCATTTTAGCCACAGACTGCTAGCTGTCTTGGTCTATGTTTTATAAATGTGCAATGAGCATAAAAATACACATTTTATATAGGGAATTGTGAACTCGTTCTCATTCTGAGAAATAAGCATCTTCTTATCCAGGTAGGCCACTTGATTTCAACATCTAAACAAAGTGACACTGGATAATTTTTTTTTTTTTATCTGAGTTCGGACATAAACTGCAGGGATGCTTTTGATAGCAAAAATGTCCAGTTGATCTAGCAGAGTTGGAGTGTAAGTGTGGGTATGAGGGGTGGGGAGTTCCATCATGGTTGTATGAGACCGTAGATGAATCCCAGCTATATGACACCTTGGAAGGAAGTCCTAATACTGATCCTCTTTTCTCAGGATTCCTCTGGCCAGCTACAGTTACATAGAGAGGAATGGAATACTCATCACTTAACATGATTCACTTTTTACCTACCCTCATCCCCGTGACAGGAATATTTTATGTAATGTGTGTTTGCGTGTGTGTGTGTGTGTGTGTGTGTGTGTGTGTGTGTGTGTGTGTGTGTGTGTGTGTGTGTGTGTGTGTGTGTGTGTGTGTGTGTGTGTGTGTGTGTGTGTGTTTTGTGGGCCTGCCTCCATATCCTTTTGGTGTGTCAATGAAAGCTGTGTTATCTGGTCTGTATTAGGTATTTCCCTGTGTTATCTGGTCTGTTAGGTATTTCCCTTGTTATCTGGTCGTGTATTAGGTATTCCCTGTGTTATCTGGTCTGTATTAGGTATTTCCCTGTGTTATCTGGTCTGTATTAGGTATTTCCTGTGTTCTGTGTTATCTGGTCTGTATTAGGTATTTCCCTGTGTTATCTGGTCTGTATTAGGTATTTCCCTGTGTTATCTGGTCTGTATTAGGTATTTCCCTGTGTTATCTGGTCTGTATTAGGTATTTCCCTGTGTTATCTGGTCTGTATTAGGTATTTCCCTGTGTTATCTGGTCTGTATTAGGTATTTCCCTGTGTTATCTGGTCTGTATTAGGTATTTCCCTGTGTTATCTGGTCTGTATTAGGTATTTCCCTGTGTTATCTGGTCTTGTATTAGGTATTTCCCTGTGTTATCTGGTCTGTATTAGGTATTTCCTGTGTTATCTGGTCTGTATTAGGTATTTCCCTGTGTTATCTGGTCTGTATTAGGTATTTCCCTGTGTTATCTGGTCTGTATAGGTATTCCCTGTGTTATCTGGTCTGTATTAGGTATTTCCCTGTGTTATCTGGTCTGTATTAGGTATTTCCCTGTGTTATCTGGTCTGTATTAGGTATTTCCCTGTGTTATCTGGTCTGTATTATGTATTTCCCTGTGTTATCTGGTCTGTATTAGGTATTTCCCTGTGTTATCTGGTCTGTATTAGGTATTTTCCCTGTGTTATCTGGTCTGTATTAGGTATTTCCCTGTGTTATCTGGTCTGTATTAGGTATTTCCCTGTGTTATCTGGTCTGTATTAGGTATTTCCCTGTGTTATCTGGTCTGTATTAGGTATTTCCCTGTGTTATCTGGTCTGTATTAGGTATTTCCTGTGTTATCTGGTCTGTATTAGGTATTTCCCTGTGTTATCTGGTCTGTATTAGGTATTTCCCTGTGTTATCTGGTCTGTATTAGGTATTTCCCTGTGTTATCTGGTCTGTATTAGGTATTTCCCTGTGTTATCTGGTCTGTATTAGGTATTTCCCTGTGTTATCTGGTCTGTATTAGGTATTTCCCTGTGTTATCTGGTCTGTATTAGGTATTTCCCTGTGTTATCTGGTCTGTATTAGGTATTTCCCTGTGTTATCTGGTCTGTATTAGGTATTTCCTGTGTTATCTGGTCTGTATTAGGTATTTCCCTGTGTTATCTGGTCTGTATTAGGTATTTCCCTGTGTTATCTGGTCTGTATTAGGTATTTCCCTGTGTTATCTGGTCTGTATTAGGTATTTCCCTGTGTTATCTGGTCTGTATTAGGTATTTCCCTGTGTTATCTGGTCTGTATTAGGTATTTCCCTGTGTGTTAGTTCTGGTTCTGGTTTATTAGGTATTTCCCTGTGTTATCTGGTCTGTATTAGGTATTTCCCTTTGTTATCTGGTCTGTATGTAGGTATTTCCCTGTGTTATCTGGTCTGTATAGGTATTTCCCTGTGTTATCTGGTTGGTATTAGGTATTCCCTGTGTTATCTGGTCTGTATTTAGGTATTTCCCCTGTGTTATCTGGTCTGTATTAGGTATTTCCCTGTGTTATTGGCTGAGTAGGTATTTTCCCTGTGTTATCTGGTCTGTATTAGGTATGTCCCTGTGTTATCTGGTCTGTATTAGGTATTTCCCTGTGTTATCTGGTCTGTATTAGGGTATTTCCCTGTGTTATCTGGTCTGTATTAGGTATGTTCCCTGTGTTATCTGGTCTGTATTAGGTATTTCCCTTGTTATCTGGTACTGTATTAGGTATTCCCTGTGTTATATGGTCTGTATTAGGTATTTCCCTGTGTTATCTGGTCTGTATTAGGTATTTCCCTGTGTTATCTGGTCTGTATTAGGTATTTCCCCTGTGTTATCTGGTCTGTATAGTATTTCCCTGTGTTTATCTGGTCTGTATTAGGTATTTCCCTGTGTATATGGTCTGTATTAGGTATTTCCCTGTGTTATCTGGTCTGTATTAGGTATTTCCCTGTGTTATCTGGTCTGTATTAGGTATTTCCCTGTGTTATCTGGTCTGTATTAGGTATTTCCCTGTGTTATCTGGTCTGTATTAGGTATTTCCCTGTGATACTCTGCCCTGTGGGGTGTAAACGGTGATGCTCTGCCCTGTGGGGTGTAAACGGTGTGTGTGTGTGTGTGTGTTGGTGGTAAATGGTTCACATGTCATTAACTGACAGAGTCACTGAGACCAAGGACAGAGGGACCAGACACCAAGGTGTGTGTGATTGCTTCTGTCCATGTGCACAACTGCCAGTGTGTGTGTGTGTGCTGTGTTTGTGTCTTTGTGCCACTGTTTGTCAGAAAATATAATTTCTCAGACAATGTGTAGCCTACCATGGGTGTGATACTTGTGTGTGTGTGTGAATGTTTCTTTGTGTGTGTGAATGTTTCCTTGTGTGTGTGTGTGTGTGTGAATGTTTCCTTGTGTGTTTGTGTGTGCGTGCGTGCATGTGTGTGTGTGCTACTTGCATATGTGTGTGTGTGAGGAGATAACATGTCAGACTGCCAATGAAATGATTCACTGGGGCGAGATCTGGGTCGCCCTGCCTTTAATTACTCAGCCTCTACCTTTAACCCTATTCTCGCTCTCTCGCTCTCTCGCTCTCGCTCTCTCCATTTCTCTCTCTATCTCTCCATTTTCCCCTCTCTCTCTCTCTCTATCTCTCCATCTCTCTCTCTCTCTCTCTCTCTCTCTCTGTGGCCTGTGAGTGTTCGTGCCTGCAGGCTTCCGTACGTCTATTCTGAAGCAATTTCTTCTCCTTCTCCTCCCTATCCTCAACCTGCCCCTCCTCTCAAATTCTACCTCTCATCAACCTCTCCCCACTGGCTCCCTGTGTGTGTTGACTGAATAACCTGTCCCCATGCAGAACATTCTAGAAGAACGCTACGTTTATAGGAAGATTATATTAAAACTGGATGATGGAGGGAAGGGAACTAAAGTGTGTGATGATGTGAGTGTGTTGTGTTTTCTTGCCAGTTTCTAAAGCTGGGAAACAGAACCAAAACACGACAACGAACTACATTTACTCTTTCATCTCTATATGAGAAAGTGAGGAATACCCAGTGTGTACACATTGTCCTCCTCACCAAAGTGACTTCTTGTATGTGTGTCGTGGAATAACCTTTGGAACCTGCATCAACCTCCGTAGGGTCGGTTCACTGGCTTATGTGTGTGACTGCATGTGAATTTATCTGGTTCCAGTCAGTGACGCTCTCAGGAGCGTGACTGATGCGGGCGTGCGGGTGTGTGCTGCCCTAAGTTCTGCTGATGTCTGTGAGTGAGAGAGAGATTGGTGTAGGGCTGGATTTAGAGCCCACCCTCTGTCTCTTTCTCTCCTCCCACTCCCATGTCAGCACTTTTCTCACCCCTCCTCTTTATTTGAAAACACACTCATTACAGCCGTTATTTCAACTGCAGTGTCTGTCTGTGTGTGTGTGTGTGTGTGTGTGTGTGTGTGTGTATATCCAAACTTCAGTTGACTGTGCACTCAAGGAGGTCTGTGTATCATGTGTATGGACATGTGTGTGTGTGTGTGTGACCTAATCGTTTCACATGACAATAATGCATCACCATCGTTGGCCAGGCGTTGCCCCTGTTGCCATGGTGATCCCAGTACTGCTCTGTGATTGGTTCGTTGGGACATCAAAGGGTGTTGTAACCATCACCTTCCTCCAAGATGACTCCAAACTCCTCCCTTACTCACTCTGTACCTACCTACCTCTATCTCTTTTTCTCACACTCCTCCTTTCCCCTGTTTATGCTGTCCCTTTCTCTCTTACCCTCTCTCTGCACTCCTCTTTTGAACCCCATCTCTCTCACGCTTTCTGTTATTTTCTCACCCCAGGGCTAAATTACTTTTTGGTCTTCTGAAATGAACAAACCGTTCTCAGCCACTCGCACACTGTTCTCAGGGTATGACCTGAAATTAATTTGAGGTGAACTGTGTGTGTGTGTGTGTGTGCGCGCGTGTGTGTGTGTGTGTGTGTGTGTGTGCGTGCGTGACTGTGCAGTAAGGGTGTGTCTTTGCACCCCTGGAAAGCCCAAATTTTAAGCCAGGCTTTGAGTGCTGTCTCTTCCAAAAAGGGGTGTGTCTTTGGACTGTGTCTGGCATTTGATTGGCTCTCTTAATTTACTCCCAGACTCACTCTGTGCACTTAATTTAACCAGTGGAATTTTATTTTTTGAATGAAGCTACATATCTGGCCCGGAGAGAAAGAGAGAGGGGAAGGACTGGAGGGAGACAGAGGAGGCGAGGGAAAGGAGGGGAGACGATTGTCTGGCGTCACTGAAGACCTCATACGAGAAAGGGGAGGAAGTAGATTCTTAAGGACAGTTGAACTATCTTTAACTTGGTTTAATAGCTTATTGTGTGTGTGTGTGTGTGTGTATATATATATATATATATATATATAGTATATTGTAATTAACTAGTTATAACCCGTAGTTTTCAGCTTGGTTGCTTGTAGCTACTCTAGGTGTGTTTTATATGATCAGAAGGAGGAGGCAATGTAGTGAAGGGTAGTGTGATGTCTGGAATGAGATGAGTGTTCTAATTGGAGGCCGTGTGTGTTTGTGGTGAGATGGAGTGTAGCGTAATTGGGGAAAAGACAGTTTTGTGATCTCTGGCTGGCCGTAGTTCCATTTACACATTCCTCATGACCATGGCACTGTGTCTGTTTGTTTTGGCACACACAGTCTTGTTTTACTAACCTTGTGAGGACACACAATTGATTCCCATAAAAAAAAATATTTGACCTAACTTTAACCCCAAAACCTAACCCTAATTCTAACCCTAACACTAACCCAAAACCCCCTAGAAATAGCTTTTTTTTCCTTGTGGGGACCATCAAATTGACTTCTAGTCCCCGTGGTTCAATCAAATCAAATGTTATTTGTCACACAAGCAACAGGTGTAGACTAACATGAAACTTCCCATCAATGCAGGGAGAGAAAATCTAAACACTAGCCTTGGGCGGTATACCGTATATACCGTATACCGGAGTATTTAAAGATTTTTCAAATCTGTCAAAACTATTTATTTTTTCAATAACTGAATATTTGTAGCAACTTTTTAAGTTAATACTTGTAAAATATGTTAGGAGATGAGGCAGATTGCGTTCTTCATTTCACCTGTCACATTATTTTACATTATGAAGCTTACCGTAGTTCCCGAGAACGTTGAGCCAGTCTGTTTGTTTGTAAATAGCACAACGGGAGAAAGCAAGATGGTGAGTCCATAGCGTTCTATATGTGGCTCACGAGGTCATGAACTTACACTTGTATGCAATTCACTACTACCGTATTGGTCCGAATATAAGACGACCCTGATTATAAGACGACCCCCCGTTTTTCAACACAAACATTTAGAAAAACAGATTTGCAGACTAGATTTGCCGAACAAAGAACTTCATTTTATTTTAAAATAACAATATTAAAAACACAGTGAATTAAACACAAAGGCAAACTATGTACAGTATGATTCAAAATTAATATCAAGCAATAATAAAGCAACATTTTTAAATAACAGAGAAAATACAGGCCACACATTTAACTAAACTTAACAAAAATTCGCCAAACTTCTCCTCCGATGTCTCTCTATCCCTCACACACGTCCTCTGCCCCGCTGTGTTCGCTCTCGCTGTCATCGCTCCCCAGCTGCTCCGCTTCCACCGGCTCCTCCCAAAGCACGTCGTCCTCGCTGCCGTCCAATGCATTTGAGATGCAACATTTTTTAAAGCCATCGATGATGCTCTGTGAGGGAATAGCATCCCATGCATGCAGGATCCATTCACACAGTAGACGGACTGACGGCTTCTGTATTTTCCCGGTCGGTGTGAGTGCGTGGTTGCCAGACAGGAGCCACTCTGTGTATTTTTTTTCGCAGGTTATCCTTGAAAGGCTTGTTCACAACTACGTCCAACACCTGTAGCTGGCTTGTCATTCCCCCTGGTATGATCACAAGATCCCCGTTCATTGCTCGCACCTGACTTTTCACGGGCTCAGTCAGATGTCCGCGGAACGCATCCAGAACGAGCATGTTCCTCCTCTTCCTCAGTCCCCCGTAGCGTGCGCCCCACACAACCTTTAGCCAGTCCACTACAAGCCCCGACTCCATCCAGCCCTTCTCCTGGGCGCGCACAATAATGCCAGCTGGCATTGGGTCCTTTGGCACAGTCTTACGCTTAAGAATGACATACGGGGGGAGTTTGCTGCCACCAGCGAGACATGTCAACATGACAGTGACGCGGCTCTTCTCGTTGCCCGTTGATTTCACCAACACAGACTTTTCTCCCTTTCTATTGACAGTCACCGATGTTGGCATGTCGAAATAAACGGGTGTCTGATCAGCATTGCCGATCTGATCCAGCGGGTAGGAGTGCTTCTTCCTCAGGTTGATAACAAAGCGCTGAAACGAAAGCAGCTTCTCTCCGAAGTCTGACGGCAGGCGTTGGGCCAAACTCGTTCTCCGTCTAAGTGACAGTCCATTACGCCGCATCATCCTACGACACCAGCCGAGGCTGGCTTTAAATCCAGTGATGTTGAGCTCTCTGGCGATTTCCAGGGCCTTAACCTGGATGACAGCTCTGGTAATGGGCATTCCCTCACTTCTTTTTTCCCTGACATATTCAAAAACCCTCCGGTCAACCTCAATGAAACGACCACTTTGAGGACCACGGAAGGATTTTCGCTGACTGTTAGCATCTTTTAGACGTTGTTTTTCTGCTCGCCATCTTCTTACATTACACTCAGTGACCCCGAATGTCTTGGCAGCTTGGCAGTTGTTAGATGACTCTGCCTTATTGACAACCATTATTTTGAAATTGGCATCATAGCTCCTCCGCTGTTGTTTATTGACCTGGCCCACTTTTGAGCCACTTGTCTCTAAATGGTCAGCCTGTCTTTCCATCTTTAAACACCGGTAACGGGCTGGTTGTTAAGGACGCCTCTTCCCTCCGTCCGGAACGAATTTTTGGCGCCATCTGTGCCCGCGAATGTGTATTGACATTTAAAGGGAGCGCCGAAGAAGAGAAACTGCGCTCTGAATACTAGACCCCGAATATAAGACGACCCGACTTTTTTGGACCTATTTCGAGGGGAAAAAAGGCCGTCTTATATTCGGACCAATACGGTAAATGTTTTGCCATCAGATATCTTATAATGGCTTTCTGCCTGAAGTCAAAGAGCTCTGGAGGAGTTGTCTGTACAGCTGCCATTTCTTCTCTGTGCTTCCTACTAGCATGTTCTTCTCTCATCCGTTCTTCTCCTCCTCTGCTCCCGGTACACTTGCTGCTCTTCCTTCAGAAAAGCATGCATCACAACTTTGTTTTTTTTTTGCACAATTTCTCTCGTTCACTTTCGCTTGTAAAATGTCCACACTCACCGAAAATGACATTCGGTAGCTAATAGCTATGCTTGTATAACTTTATGAGCTGGATTTGCCTGTCTTTGCAATTCGTTTATGTTGGTTTTCGCTCGTTAGCATTTAGCGTACAGCGTCTATGTGATTTTGCTATTAGTTTGTGCAAAGTTTGTTAGCATTTCTGATAATAGAGGCCCAATGGGCTTTTCTTGTGTTTTAACGCCCCCTTCTGTGCTATGCCGGTAATACCGTAAATCCCAGGATGAGTGAAGGACGGTATGACGATATGAAAATCTGGATACCGCCACAGAGAGAAGAGAGGAGTGGAATGCACATAGGGAAGACAGAGAGAGAGAACAGAGAAGAGGAGAGAACAGAGAGAATGAAGCCTGTTCCTGTTCTCTCTGTATTTTTATTTTCTTCTCTCTACTCTCATCCTTTTTCTGTTCCTTTTCCTCCTGTCTTGATGCCTTCTCTCTCATGAGTCCTGTATCATCAGGTATGTCGCTAGCCCAATCAGTTTTTCCCAAAAGACCTGTGACCAAAATTGTTTGTTAACAAAATTGTTTTCTTTGCGAAGTGAACAAAACAATTTATTCTTTACCAGAACCTAAAATGACTTTAGCGTGACCGATATGGTATGAATAGATATATAGCAGGACGTTGGACTCAGGCCGGTGGTTGTGGTTGTTTGTTGTGTTTTCCACATGAAGCACGAGAGAGCAGTAGCAGATCCCTATTTCAGTTCCTCACACGGACCGGTGGAATCGTAGTTTTTTTTTTTTTTTTTTTTTTTTAGTCATTTAGCATACGCTCTTATCCAGAACGACTTACAGTTAGTGAGTGCATACATTTTAATACTGGTCCCCCGTGGGTGTCGAACCCACAACCCTGGCGTTGCAAACGCCATGCTCTACCAACTGAGCTACACGGTTAGTTAGCGTAAATGGTAATCAATCTGTGTGTGTAAGAAATGTATTCAAGTCTTTGTAAAACCAATGACTATGTGTTTTCAAGAGCTGTGTCTCTGTGTGTGTGTGTGTGTGTGTGTGTGTGTGTGTGTGTGTGTGTGTGTGTGTGTGTGTGTGTGTGTGTGTGTGTGTGTGTGTGTGTGTGTGTGTGTGTGTGTGTGACCGAAACCTCTTGACGGATTATTTTATTGGGTGGAACTATGACTTGACAATTTTTGGTGTGTGTGTGACAGAAACCTCTGACTGAATATTTTATTGGATGAAACTATGACTTGACATTTTTTGGTGAAGGAAGTTCTATGAGTTTCACTTCTCTCAGCTGTCGTCAGTCAATGAATGCATAGATGTAGTGTGTAGTTGGGCTGGAGCTGGCCATAGGATGGGGTGTTTGCACTCATTTTGACAGATGATTCCTCAGCCTCTATTTGTTTATGATTTAAAACATGAGATTTTGGCTAACGTAGTTAGCTGAGCTGTGAAAGGAAAATGTCTCTTGTAAACTATATCCTAGAGTCTAGTGGGTAGCTGAGCTGTGAAAAGAAAATGTCTCTTGTAAACGACACATGCCACACAGGTCACCAAAACACACACCAGAGGCGGCAGCATGCTTCAGGTCGGCTGGCCCCTAGCAGAACTCGGCTAGACGAACCCAACGAGTGTGCTCGCATAATCCCTTAAAAGACCTTCACTTGAAAAACGAGACAAAGTGGCAATAGTACCGTTTGTCCATTTTGAGACACCATAGCCAGTATACACTTCGTCAAAATAGGCCGAATTAATCTAAGTTTTAACTCAAGAAATCTGTAATACATTTTGACGTTTTTGCCGAGGAGGTCTTAGTCACGCAATTTTACATCTAACTAAGATGTTTGGTGCAGTATTTCTCAATGGAAAAATGTGCATGAAAACAAAGACTATTGAAGAATCCTTACTGTTGACCAATCACCGACGAAGGGGCTTAGACTTCGGCTTGCCTCCAGAATAAATGTTGTGTGCCCGAACAGCCGAGAAAAACCCTCACCGAAGTCCCAAAACGAACAAAAACGTCACAAAATGTTGTCATAATAAATGCACCAACTCTTCCGAACTGTTTCGGCTGGCAAGGTTGCGGGCGCCTTAACTGTCACACCTCTCTCCCACACAGTTTGTCACACCTTTCTCACACACTAACCTCTGCCCCTGCGTGTCTCTGCCTGTCCAGACTCCTGCCTTTTAACCTCAAATTCCATTAGACTCCCAGCCACGATCAATCAGCCCATTAACGCAGCCACAGCACAGCTAGCCTGGTGTGTGTGTGTGTGTGTGTATGCATGACATATTTATGTGTATGCCTGCATGCGTTGCTCATGCATGTGTAAGGGGCATGTCTGACCCAGAAAAGGCCTTGCCAGGGGCCCGAGGGGTGCTAGTGGGTCGGTGGTAGGGGGCGGGGTGGTAGGAGTTGACCCAGACTAGCACAAACAAAGACAGAGGTCTCTCTCTCTCTCTCTCTCTCTCTCTCTCTCTCTCTCTCTCTCTCGACTTTGTCTTCTGTCGCTTTCTCTCTCTCTCTCTCTACTCTCTCTCTCTCTCTCTCTCTCTTCTCTGCCTCTCTTCTCATCTCTTCTCTCTCTCTCGCTTTGTCTCTCTGTTCGGCTTTCTTCTATCTCTCTCTCTCTCTCGCTTTGTCTCTCTGTCGCTCGTCGTCTCTCTCTCGCTCTCTCGTCTCTCTCTTCTCTCTCTCTTTCTCCTTCTCTCTGCTCTCACTTCTCTCAATTCTCTCTCTCTCTCTTCCGCTTTGTCTACTGGGGCGTCGTATCATCTCTCTCTCTCTCTCATCCGCTGTTGCTTCTCTCTCTCTCTTCTTCTCTCTCGCCCCTTTCGCTCTCCTCTCTCTTCTCTCTTTTCTCTCTCTCTCTTCTCTCTCTCTCACTCTCACTCTCACTCTCTCTGGTGATCTATCATTATTATTAGCATTACATGAGGCTTATCTTGACCGAGATAGCACATTTGCAGAACTCCAATGACAGTTGACCACAGTGTGTGATATCTGGCGGTTTTGTGTGATGTTGCAAGATTAATGTGTCTGTCAAGTGATATTGACCGTGTGTGTGTCTATGTGTGTATTGTACTATCCGTGTGTGGTACTGTGTGTGTGTGTGTGTGTGTGTGTGTGGTACTGACCATGTGTTCTCTTCTCTCCAGGGGTCGTGTGTTTTCGTTAGACTTCACTGCCATGCGTGTATGTGACCTGGAGTTCGACCGTGTCAGACGGTTGACCACACCCTCCAGCCCTGCCGCCCCGCCCCCAAACACAATCCCCACCCCTAACTGCCACACAGTGTGGAAATACTACTGCAGAGACAATTTCGGCTGGAGAGAATACTCTGAGGTGAGTGTGAGTGTGTGTGCATGCATGTGGATGAAGGGCGAGTTAGAGGCTATTAAATAACACACACAAACTGACAAAGGAGACACGTTAACCCTGGAGTCACACCGATCACGTTAACCCTGGAGTCACACCGATCACATTATCACATTAACCCTCGAGTCACCAATCACATTATCACATTTCAAGTCACACCAATCAGTTGTCTTCCCACCTTAAGAAGATCAATACATCAATGATACGGTATGCCATGTGGAATGGGTCTCTGTTGCGCGTATGCATGTGTGTTCAGAGTTCTCTCTCTCTGTGTGTGTGTGTGTGTGTTCAGAGCAGGGGTTGGAACCAAAATGATTTTCCAATAGTTTCACTCTGAACAGAACAACTATTTTTTTCCGTTCCGTTCCACTGTTCCAACCAGCAAAATAAAGTTCTGAACCGGTCGATCCCAAAACAATGTACCGGTCTTTATCATTCCTTTCTGTTCCCTCTTTTAACCTGTGAAATCAACCGTTTTTTACATTTATCTCATTCAATTACTTCACCAATCAGTGCGGATAGAGCAACTTGCTATGGAGCGGGCACGCTAGTTGTTTACATGCGTAATGGACAAACAAGTGTATAGGGCGCGAGATGCAACTTACATTTTGCGTGGTGTTGAGAGAGGATTAAGGAGGAGGCTTGGCTTGAAGCGCTGGGCATCTTGTTATGACATGCATTATCTGAATTAGGCCCACAGAATTATGCCTAGGAGCGGTTTCTATGGAAGAACTTTGAATGTCCTTTGAACTTCTGAGAGTTGGACGGACCAGAGCTAGCGAGCTAACAAGCTTATGTGTGCAGAGCGGCAGCAGAAGAAAAAAAAAACACGTCTTACCTTTTTGTAGTTAATCAAATCCAATGCGAAACGTGATAACTATAGAATTCTTAAATCCGTTTTTTCTGTAATAAAAAATCTCTTCCTAATTTCTGAATCACGCTTGTGTCGTCAGTACAGTAGTCTTTGCTTCAGGGTAGCCTGCACACACACTGGCAAATATGTTCAGCTGGCAGGCTGACTCTGGAAGACGTTTCTGAGTGACTGAGTGAGGGCTTTGCATAGGCGGTTTGTGTGTGTGTTTATGTGTATATTCCCAGTGCTACAATTCAGTTTAAGATTGTTTATTAGCATGAAATGTGTAAATATTTCTAAAGAAGATTCATTCCAAAAGTGTTAGTTACACAATATTAGGTGGAACAACTTTGAATCAGATTATTCCTGATGAATAAATCACCACAATAAATAAGACTCCAAGTGAAACTGGAACCCTCGCAAGAGAGACGCCTCGCGCTCTGAGAGAGGCATATAGCGCAGAGATTATATAATCTCGCGATCTCGCTCTCTATCTCGCTCTCTCGCTCTTCTCTCTCTTATCTCTCATCTCTCTCTCTATCTCTTCTCTCTCTCTCTCTCCTCTCTCCTCTCACCTTCCCCCCCCCCCCCCTCCAGCCGGTGGTTCGTGCTGATAAGATGAAGGCTAGTGGTCAGTGGGTCCTGAAGGAGGTCCGTTTCATCACCCTCCAGAAACCAGTACATCCTCAACATCAGAGATGGCTTCCAGCAGAACGCCGTGTTCGGCTTCAGACGCCAGATCAAGAAACGACCCCTCTTCCTCTCCTCCATGGTCCTCACTCCACATCTACAGTGAGTACTGGACTGACACTATACTAACTGTACGGTCAGCTTCAGATCTACTGGATTACTACAACACTACACCATATCGCTAATGTAGTCGATTAGCTTTAGCACACAGTCTTATCCAGAGCTCTCCCACTCGAGGGTTGAAAATGTCTGATAAAATTAGATTTTGAGGTGAACTGTCCTGTTAACATTTACATAGCATAGTACACTGGAGCCTGCTGCTACCAAAACATCTTGTCTTGTATGGATGGTACCATCGCACAGCACAATGTGGTTGGACATGATGTGCCAGCACAGTGAGCAACACCACACACTCTCTTCTCTTACTTAGGTAGTGTCAGTGTGAAACAGTGTTCCATAGAACCAGTCAGTCAGTCCTCCCTGGAAGTAACAGTCAGTCAGTCAGTCCCTATTTTAATGTGACAAATTGATCTAACTACCAGAACACAGTGCTGCCCTGTCCCTGCCAGTCCTATTAGTCCAGAACTACTGCTACTGGGGGAGCTAGACCGTGCTGTTCCAACCAGGCCTGGAACAAACAGATAGAGAGACAGAGAGAGGAGGAAGAGAGACATAAAAGAGAGAGAACAAGGAAGTGGGAGAGACAGAAGACAAAGGAGGAAGAGAGAGGTGTAAATGGCTTCCAGACAGGGGCAGCAGCGTGACTGAATGAGTGTGAAACGTGACTGTGGGGAGTTGGAATGCGAGCAAGGAATTTGTCCCCTGGACTTTTTCATCTGTTTCCTTCTTTCCATCTACGGCTGCTGCTTGACAGTGCTGTTCTCCTCTTCTCTAGTCACCAAGTCATGAGTTTCCTCTATTCTAGTCACAAGTCATGATTCTCCTCTTCTCTAGTCACCAAGTCATGATTCTCCTCTTCTCTAGTCACAAAGTCATTAGTCTCCTCTTCTCTAGTCACCAAGTCATTAGTTTCTTCTTCCGTAGTCACCAAGTCATGAGTCTCCTCTTCTCTAGTCACCAAATCATGAGTCTCCTCTTCTCTAGTCACCAAGTCATGAGGCTCCTCTTCTCTAGTCACCAAGTCATTAGTCTCCTCTTCTCTAGTCACCAAGTCATTAGTTTCTTCTTCCGTAGTCACCAAGTCATGAGTCTCCTCTTCTCTAGTCACCAAGTCATGAGTCTCCTGATCTGTAGTCACCAAGTCATGAGTCTCCTGATCTGTAGTCACCAAGTCATGAGTCTCCTCTTCTGTAGTCACCAAGTCATGAGTCTCCTCTTCTCTAGTCACCAAGTCATGAGTCTCCTCTTCTCTAGTCACCAAGTCATGAGTCTCCTCTTCTCTAGTCACCAAGTCATGAGTCTTCTCTTCTCTAGTCACCAAGTCATGAGTCTCCTCTTCTCTAGTCACCAAGTCATGAGTCTCCTCTTCTCTAGTCACCAAGTCATGAGTCTCCTCTTCTCTAGTCACCAAGTCATGAGTCTCCTCTTCTCTAGTCACCAAGTCATGAGTCTCCTCTTCTCTAGTCACCAAGTCATGAGAGAGAGGAACTTCTGCAGATATCACATATTCTCAAGCAGTCATGCTGGTTGTGTGTGTGTGTGTTATCTATAAACAGTGAAACATGATATGATTAAGTACATATGCCTAGAATAACATGCAATCTTACAGTGTTCATTTTGAGTTCAGTGTGCGTGTCTGCGTGTATGCTTGTGTCCTGCTGAGCACAGGGGTGGAAGTCATTATCTTGATTGGCACTGTGGCTCTGTAGCTGCTCGCAAGTTAGTTCTCACTTGGGCAAACACATCCTTCTCTCTCGCTCGCTATCTCTCACTCACACACACACACACATACACACACACACGTACATCTGTTCACCTTGCCTTAAACACATTCACCCTTCTTCAATCTTTTACCTTGCTTTCTATCTTCTCAGAACTCATGGGGAATAAAGCATCTGATTGTGGGGGCAGATTTCAGCGTGACACTCAAACAGAGCGAGACAGAACTGAGATGAGAGACTCAGGAGCAAGAGGGAGAGAAAGAAACTGTTACTGTGCCACAGAGAATCACACACATGCATGCAGACACCGAGATAAGGCTAATACCATTAAGACGTGGAGTCTGAGCCAGAGAGAGAGAACATGACAACGATCCTACTGTTAGTGACTCAAATTAGAACATGACAACGATCCTACTGTTAGTGACTCAAATTAGAACATGACAACGATCCTACTGTTAGTGACTCAAATTAGAACATGACAACGATCCTACTGTTAGTGACTCAAATTAGAACATGACAACGATCCTACTGTTAGTGACTCAAATTAGAACATGACAACGATCCTACTGTTAGTGACTCAAATTAGAACATGACAACGATCCTACTGTTAGTGACTCAAATGCCAGACAGACCATGGCTTTTCTTTTCTTTCTGTGTGAGTTCTCTGACAGTCTCCTGATATGCCATTGCTTTGTGTTTTCTCATCCTGTGTCTGTGCCTCATTTCTGTGAAGCTCATAGTCTTCTTCTTCGCTGTTGACGCTACTGCTGCATTAGAGTACCGCCCACTTCTAGCGCTATGACATCGTCATGTTATTTATTTTGCAGGATGTGGTGGAGATTCAGGTTATTGGTTATTCAACATTAGCATAGGTTATTATGAAATAAAACATAATTGGATGATTTCTGATGTGGTTTATAATTCTAGAAGGGATCCATATACAGCTGCGGAAAAAATTTAAGAGACCACTGCAAAATTATCTGTTTCCACTATTTATAGGTATGTTTTTGGGTAAAAATAACATTTTTGTTTTATTCTATAAACTACTGACAACATTTCTCCCAAATTCCAAATAAAAATATTGTCATTTAGAGCATTTATTTGCAGAAAATGACAACTGGTCAAAATAACAAAAAAATGCAGTGTTCAAGTTCATTTTTAAACAACACAATAGTAATGTTTTAACTAAGGAAGAGTTCAGTAATTAATATTTGGTGGAGTAACCCTGATTTTCAATCACAGCTTTCATGTGTCTTGACATGCTTTCCACCAGTCTTTCACATTGATGTTGGGTGATTTTATGCCACTCCTGGCACAAAAATTCAAGCAGCTCGGCTTTGTTTGATGGCTTGTGACCATCCATCTTCCTCTTGATCACATTCCAGAAGTTTCAATGGGGTTCAGGTCTGGAGATTGGGCTGGCCATGACAGGGTCTTGATCTGGTGGTCCTCCATCCACACCTTGATTGACCTGGCTGTGTGGCATGGTGCATTGTCCTGCTGGAAAAAAACAATCCTCAGAGTTGGGGAACAATGTCAGAGCAAAAGGAAGCAAGTTTTCTTCCCGGACAACCTTGTACGTGGCTTGATTCATGCGTCCTTCACAAAGACAAATCTGCCCGATTCCAGTCTTGCTGAAGCACCCCCAGATCATCACCAATCCTTCACCAAATTTCACAATGGGTGCGAGACACTGTGGCTTGTAGGCCTCTCCAGGTCTCCGTCTAACCATTAGATGACCAGGTGTTGGGCAAAGCTGAAAATTGGACTCATCGGAGAAGATGACCTTACTCCAGTCCTCTACGGTCCAATCCTTATGGTCTTTTGAAAACCTCAGCCTGGCTCTTCTTTGCTTCTCATTGATGAAGGGCTTTTTTCTAGATTTGCACGACTTCAGCCCTGCCCCTAGGAGCCTGTTTCGAACCGTCCTCGCCGTGCACTTCACCCCAGCTGCCATTTGCCATTCTTTTTGTAGGTCACTTGATGTCATCCTACGGTTGTTGAGTGACATTCGAATGAGTTGGCGGTCATCCCGGTCAGTAAAGAGTCGTTTTCGCCCTCTGCCGGTCTGTAGCTTTGTCCCCAATGTCTGCTGCTTGACCTTGTTCTTATGAACCGCCGTCTTTGACATTTTAAGGATGGAAGCAACCTGACGCTCACTGTATCCCTCTGCCAGTAAAGCCAAAATTGAACCCTTCTTTTCCTCTCTCAAAACTTTCCTTTTCAACTCTTTTGGCATGGTCAATAGTTATTTTTTGATTAATATTACTTTAGAGGTACTATTAGCACTGTTTTTGCCATCCAGCTGGTCCTATTGCAAGAGGATAGTGATGACCACAGCAGTGGTGTTTATACTTTTCCTCGTTAAATAAGATTTGGTTCAGGGGATCACCTAATCAGTACCTAATTCAGTATAATGAGGTGTGCCTGTGTTGGAATTCAACAGACACTGGAATGGAATGGCTGTCATACATGTAGAGATGCTGATTTAAGAAAAATTTGCAGTGGTCTCAATTTTTTCCACAGCTGTATATTCCCAGCTATGGTGTGTAACTCTGTTCCCCCCTTCTCTTTTCCAGGACTCTTGGTGGCCTCTCCTCCTCTTTCCCCTTCTCCTCCTCCGCTGTGGATCTGTCCATTTCTCTCCCTCTCTCTCCCAACTTCACCAACCCTCCCAGCGTATTCCCAGAGACCTGGTTACCCATGACAACCAGCCAGGACTTCCTGCAGGTTCCGGTATCCCGTGACGACCGGAGTTACCGGACTGTCTACACCCTCTTCCACAAGACAGTGTCCGAAACCAAGTTCCGCATCCTGAAGATCCTCCGCGTCCAGAACCCCTTCCTCTGGGAGAAATACAAGAGGTGAGTTATCATACCGTTATTACAGTTATTAAATGGGTATGTTATTACACAGGTTCACCTGCGTCCTCGTGGAGGTAAGGAAGTGGTTGACTTAGTAGCTACACAGTTATTAGCAGTTGTTAGTTGGTTATGACTGTCTGAATCAGAGCTCATTAGTTCCTGTAGATAGATGACTGGTGTGCCTTGGCTGCTACACTGGTCTTGCTTTAGACCAGATCTAGGGGAAGACAGATGTCTGTCTGCTGTGGCTCTGAATGTGAATGTGCTGGAATGGGTCTGTTCCAGGCTAAACGGCTCTGATGCCAGAATGCTTTCAATTGGGGCCGTTGATGTTGTGGATATTGAGAGCACAGGAAGTGGTTCCAGAGTGAGGATGTGTCAGGGGGGTGGTGCTGAGTCAC